CCATTAAGGGCCTCGGGTTTAGACCTAGTTGTAGCTTTATCACCTGAACTTGAATATCGCACCTGTTTGGCACGAAAACGCCCTGAAAGCAGATTTCAGTCAACGCTACATTTGGTGAAAAACGGTTAAAAGTTCTGATTTTGGGTGATTTCTGCAGTTAAAAGTAAATAGTGCCAAAAGTTTCATAAGTTTGAAAGTGATGTCATTTCTGAGGCATCTTAATATCCGAGTTTTTCAGCAGGATACTCGACCAGTTCTGCCAAAGGTGGTGATCACTCAGCCGTCATCCAACGATCTCCAATCGTCACTTACCGCCTCCGCCGAAACCATTCCAATGAATGATAAAAAGAAATGCTGTACAATACTATAGCCGGTGATTCATAGGACAAAAGTTATGTCTATGACTAAAGTCTCGATGACCATATGATTATAGAGATTTTGATCGTATAACACTACTTACGAAATTTGTAATAGTAATATATGACAATATCTGTGTAAGTTGTCTAAAAATATTGTATTATTGACAGATCATTCGTCTAATTTGCTTTGAATACGGGCTGACGCATTTGAATAAAATTGTACGTTACTTTACCACAGCAACTCACCCACTGTTTATTCATTTCGTTCGTTCTTTATTCAACTAGCTGGCTACCAGCAGGTACTGGTGCGGTTCAAAGAGTCACCAAAACCTGAGGAAGTTCACATTATAACAGACGCTGAACAGTTTATTGGTTAGGTGGGTGGTCCCGGAGGTTGCTCATTCGCCGTCTGCCCCTCGGGCGGGTACCGCCGATTCTCAGACGATGTCCTGTACAATACTGTGATTTTGACCTCCATCGGCGAGACGTGACAATACTGCTCGCTGATGGTTGTGATGGATATTGCCTGCAGTCAGTAAGTTCCTGCAAACAGGAAAATAAGCAGCATTTTTGCCCGCGTTTTTTAGGGAGGGAGCGTACGTGGCTTTGATTCCGGGCGAGCTGTGTCGTGTTCCGCCATTGATTGCTGGCAGAAGTGCCAACATGATTAGAGGCACGAGAACAGGGAATGGAGAAGCCTGAAAGAAATGGATCGTGAAATGTAGGTCGTCACCCATCTCTCGAGAGACGGCCAGATAATACGCAATTTCACAGTCTATTGCTTGCCCATCTACTATCTTAGAAATATAGTTATTTTGAGGCGCCACACGCGACACCCGGGCGCCTGCTATTGTTGACTTTTTCTTGTCACATAGGTACCGAAGCAAGAATGCGCAGGTGATGCGTCATGAACTGAGCGTGACCCAGCGGCGGCCATTTCTAACCGAAATTGTCGCGCGAATCTTAGGAATGGCATTAGTAGGGGGAAAATACTGCCGGTTGCAATCCACGCCCATCACATGCCCTCGTTTGCAGGGATAACGACGGTACATGAAACGAGATGGTTCTTTTCTGTTAAGTGTAGCTCGCTGCAGTCCCATGCAGAACCGTGTTGTGCTACAGAGTCCGTAGCGTGCTACGCCTTAGAGAACCGCAGAAGTTTGAACGCGCCTCGGAATCCGGTGCGAGACCCCAGCTGTCTAATGCCGATCCAAAGCCATGGTGGGTTTTGACCACATCTTCGAAGCAAAAAGCATCAACTAAAAGTCATGGAAGCGTATATACGATTGGCAGATTCTGCTGGAAAACTAAAGTGCACGTGCTTGGCTTGACAAACACGCCACCTGGGTGGTCCAGTGCAACCTCTTGCAATGAAGTCGATAATCGGTGTATCATGTGCACGCAGAGAAACAGCCTGATATGCCTGACTATTTGATCTCCTCGCTGATCAATCTGCGCCGACATCGGCTACCAACCCCTCTAATGATTGCTCCATTGATTGAGTGCATCAGGATTTGGCCATTTGCCAAAAAGAATTGCGACACGTCGAAGGGACAACCCACTGAACCCCCAATAGACGCCGCTACCCAGGATTTGCCCGCAACTGGATCAGTCTGGCACCAGTACCAGGTTCTCGGTTTTCGGAGAATGTTGCTGCGTTGGATAGCCCAATGGTTGTACAGATCCCCAAATGGTTGTGGGTGTCTCTTGTTCTTTCATACACATCCAAAAAGACACATTCTTGCTAAACACTGTGACCAGTGACAAGAGCAGGTCTCTCCTTGGACCATACTGCTGGGTCCGGGAGACGGGCAAGAGAATCGTAAATTGCCGCTTCGTCGCGCGCGGCAATGGGCGCGACGTTTCCTTAATTTGCACTACCCTTTCGATTGGAGCATCGGATTTCATGTAGACAAGGACATGGTAGACACTATGTCTATTTTTGGTCATACATTGTCTATTCTCGACCAATACCACCTAAAATCGTCGTCATTAGCAGGTGGCAAATTACGATTCTCTTGCCACATGCCCTGCTGCGTCCCCCTCAATATTGAAAGCCGCATGCAGAACTCGCTCCGCGTGTCCAGTGTTTTCAATGCAGGTCATTGCTTCCACTGCTGTGTTTTCTCAGTGCACGTCAAGTGAATCCCTCCATTTTGAGAACTATTTTGGATGGATTGTGGAAGAGTCAATGGCAAATCGCACGCGCTTTCGCAATCGCTTTTCATGTTTCGGACGACAATAGCTTCTTTTATACGCAATCTTTTCTAAAGCAAAAAAATTTCCCAAGCGCATTGTTTCTTCTTTCCAAAAAGCGCTACATTTTCCTCGAAAACTCGCTAGTTTAGAAGATACTGTGAATTGGTTCGAAATACTGATCCTAACAATTTAGCTCCTTCTTCTAAGGGAAAGTAGGCCTTCAAAACACATACTTCCGTCCATCTGAGTGAAAGCAGAGCTTGATTATCATCGATCGATTTCATCTAAATGTGCGCCCTACACTATGGTCCCACGAAGAGGTGGCGGAAAGGTGTAACATCCAATGGTGAGTAATTTTTGCCAATGCAAGCAGATGCTTTTATAGGGTTAGGAAAGGTCTATAGGAGCGAACCTCTTCGTGCTGCATTCTTTATTCATCTACATACTTGAGAATTCATGCTATCTCTCGACATTGTTACTTAAATATTCTGATATTCTGTACATTTATTGATATTCTTCCACATATCAGGCTTTTCTGCAGTGCTGATTCCTCTTTACAAAGCTTAGCGATGACACTTTTGCAACCCTGCGTTCATGACCCCCCCCCCCTTCCGAGCGACCAAGTGCGAACCCTTTGGTGGTAATTTGCACAACGATGCTGTAACCTGGTTACAGCGCGTCGACGCGC